CATCCACGCTCCGTGGAATTGACTTGCTAACATGTGGTGGGTCTATCATTATGAAATTCTGAACAATTACTGACTGAATGCCGATTTGATAATGAGGTTTTGTCCAGGCATCATCGGGTGTCTTGTGTAAGGCAACTCGCAGGTCTAAGTCTAGGTCGCAGCGGACACAATGGCAAATTACTTCCGCCTATCGAATGTCGTGGATAACGGAGGTGGCGCTGGAAGCATGGCCGACCACGAGAGCGCTTATTGTGTGACGCCAGTTACCTCCACGACAATGACAGGAATATGGGTACGCGATTTTGCATTCGCTATCGGTCCTGGACGAAAGTCAGTCAGCTAGTTAGTGTCCAGGTGATTCCATGCTTCTATTATACCAACTCCGTTAATGCCACACTCATCCACCATTCCTCAGTGATGTTAGGGTCCCACTAGCACAGCCACTTGTTTCCATCCTGTGGTGTCCACCTGCGACGTGACATCACTGCATTATTCATCTGATTTAACTCGACAGAAACTCTCAGGAGGCACTTATAAGCGATGGAGCGAAGTATTCCAATAAAATGTGTCCTAGATGAAAAATCCACCCTTGTTCATCTGGATCCTACAAACACTACACATAGAGATGCTCTAGAACGCCTTAGTTAATACAAATTTTAAATCCCTTACTAAAGGCATTATATTCCCTGTGCTTTACTAACTATCAAACTCCCCCAACTGGCAACTGCTCAAGTACTTCATCAACATCACTTCAGCGTAGTCTCCACTCTTTTTTTAGAATTTCCTATGCTACAAAATGTACGATTTAATCACTCCAATCCTCTAACGCATTTGGTCAAATAATTTCATTGCATTTAGGGTATCAAGGGAGCGAATTTATTTCGGCAAGCGATGGAATCCTAATAAATCGACCGTGACAGCATAGGAGCTAGTACGGAAGAAGAGAAGAGCCCAAGAGAAAAACCATCATAGACCAAATGTTTCCGTGTTGGACCAGTGGCAGCAACATTGGCGTTGCTGTGTCAATCAACTTTACTACTGTTTAGAGCTAGAAAGGTGCGCCTATCCTCTCGAGATCAAGGAGACCACACATCCATTTCGCTACACGGTTCAGTTCCAATGGCTGTAAAATAAACAATAAATGAAAAGAGGAAATAAGATCCCTGAGCTTCGATTAAGCAGCAATAGTGGTTGCCTCTGAGCCACCTTGGACACTTATCAGTGGCTTGTAAAGGTTGGAATGGATTTGGAGTTTTACCTTCACAAAAACTATAACAACAGGAGAGGCCAACA